AATAAATAAATAAATTTTGAGTTATTTCTTAGCTCCCCATAGATGGCTCACAAGCTACCAGTTAAAACTTCTGGAAGTTCGACTGATTCTCATTTACTCCCCCAACCCCTCTCTTTCTGCCTAAAACTTTATTTAGATCAGTTGTTAAAGTAAGTGCTTCTGATCCAGTATGTATTTAATGAGTGCAGGTTCTTGAGCAGCAGTTCCAACATTGCCAACAGAAGACGAGTATAAATCATTTTGATATTGCCAACTTCAACACTTCACTTTTCATGTTGGTAATAAGTAGATCTTCTAAAAAGTGAGAAAATACACTCTCATGAGATGATATTAGAAAACTTTTTTTCTAGTAATAGATGGAAAAGTTGGGCAGGGAAAGTAAGAAAATCCAGGGGGCTGGAGCTATGGCTCAGGGGTGGAGCGCTTGCCCAGTATTTGGGAGGCACTGGGTTCGATTCTCAGCACAGCATATAAATAAATAAAGTAAAGGTCCACTGACAACTAAACAATATTAAAAAAAAAAAGAAAATCCAATATTTAAGCACATGTTTTTATGTTATTTGTGTTTGTTATCTATTGTAGGATAACAATATCCTTCAGTAATCATAGTAGCTCAGACGTTTATCACACAGTTTCTATGGGGCAGAAAATCAGGAGCAGCCTCGCTGGTTGGTTTTGGCACAAGGTCTCATGAAGATGTACTCAAAATGTAAGCTGAAACTGCAGGTATCTGAAGGCTTGACTGAAACTAAAGGATCTGCTTCCAAGCTGGCAGAAGACCACAGTGCTTTGTGGCTATTGGCAAAAACTCTTGATATTTCAACATGTGGATCTTTGCATGAGACTATTTGAGTGTTCTCATGATATGGCCCCTGACTTCTCCCAGAGATTAAGCTGAGAGACAGCAAGGAGGAAGCTATAATGCCCTTTATGCCTAATCCTGTATATCACAGTCTTATTTACCAGATTGTCATCGAAAGAAAGAAATCGTAAGAGAAGCCCCTAATACTAAGAGCAGCTATGAACTTACTCAGGTATCAATGTTGGAGTTTGAATCCAGTATGCCCAAACACGTATCATATTTCATTATATTATCACATTTCCATCAGAGAAAAGAACACAAAATTGTCTGGTTCATTCATTCAGCTACTGTTTTAATGTATACCACGTTAGACAATGTAATAGACTAGTACATTCAAATAAAATAAGGCCCTTTTCTGAAAGTTCACTGGTTTATTGTATGGAGTTAAGAGTGGGGAGTATTCTATTCCTGTACTTCTCTTTATGTTCCTTCAAATGTTGTCTATATGGCCTGTCTATGGAGCTTTTGGCATAACGTATCCTAATTAAAATGCTAAAAATGATGACTTCTAGGTTAGTAACTGGAAGATCTAGAATTGTTTCCTTAATTCACTCCTTTAATTCTTAGCAACACATTTATATATATTTTTAAAAAGTAAGAAGTATATTAAAAATCCAAAGCATTTGAAATGAATAAGTGTCATATGTAGAGAAGAGTCATATGTTATTTATTAGTTGAATAATACCTAGAACAAGAGACTAATTCAGTAGAGACTAATTCTGTAGAAATATCTACAGAAAACTAAGAGTAAATGTTCCTATTTTACTTTATATACAGACTTGGAACAGATAAACTAATCATTTTAATCCTGATCCATAACTATGATCTTTATTTTGTTCATTCCCCTTTTCTCCCTTTTCTGTTTTTTTTTTTCTTTAATACTTCAGAGATAGAAGCTAGAACACTATTATAACACATGATTATAGTGGCCTCAGATAAAATAGAGATAACTGATATCTATATAGATAGTCTAGTCTATGTATTATTCATGAAACAAGAACCATTATTGAAAATAATCAAGAAGAAGAACATTAAAAGAAACAAAAAATATCACTATTACTAATGGAAGACTAGAAAAGTGTATGAAATCTCCCAGTCCAAAGAGTAAAATTATGAAAATTTTAGAGACAAAGAATTAATCCATGTGGGCCAAATACAGAGATAATAGGAAGAAAGAAAGGCAAAACCTTGTCTGTGTGACACTGATAAGACATGTTGAAATTGAAAAGGCGCAGCCTTTACTATATAGGAGAAATTTTTAAATGGCCTGCTCCTAAATAAATCCTTATGAAATTGCAGATACTAATTATTAAAACAAGATTTTAAATATTCCACAGAGAAAAATTTAGTTTACCTCTAGAAAAAGAAGAAATAAATTTGCCAAAGACTTTCTTAATAGTAACAAGGAATACTAGAAAACAGTGTATTTCATAGTCTAGAAAAAATGATTTGATCTTGAACTACACTTAATTATGAGAGAAAGAGAAAAAATATTTTCAGACATGTAAGGACTCAAGAGTTTAGCCCCTCCCTATACTTCCCCCCAAAATTTTTAGATGATTTTCTAGGAAAGAAAAATAAAAGGAAAATATGGAAATCAAAGCAGGAGACTAAACTCAGTAGTGGAATCAAAATTACCATAAAAGTAGTTGGTAATAGGCCTTGATAACAAATAGATCAGGATGTTGGAGGGTTAAGAAACAGTATTTTTCATGATTCCTATACTCTTTCCAATTCCTTCCTCTTATTCTCTCTTAACAGCTTTCCATTCAGGCTTTTGAACACAATATTCTATCAAAGGTGCCCTTAGCAAGATCTGTGGTATCTTCTGTGCTGATGGTCAAGTATAGGTACTCACTATACTTTACCTTTTGGCCCAGTGGATTGGTTATTCTTCCTGAAACACTTTCTTCTCTTGACATACACTCCTGATTTTTTCTTTTCTCTTGCTGGCCTCTCTGTTGTTTTTTCTGGTACTTTTCCCCCTGACTTCTTAAAGTTGAATTGTTGCAAGACTCAGTCCTCACACTTCTTTATTTCTCTATATATGCTTAATTACCTCGTCTGAGTTCATGCCTTTTTAAGTATTATCTATGCACTAACAACTACCAGATTATACTAACAGCTCAGATTTCTTTAGTCAACTCCGGACTCCTGTTTAAAGTTTCCACTTGAATATCTAATAGCTAAAACTTAATACCCAAAATTAAAGGCAAGATATTTTCTCCAAACCTACTGCTTTAACAATTTTCCCCTCTCTTTTTTCCAGTTGCTCAGATGGTAAATCTAATAGTCATCTTTGACTCCTTTCCTTCCTTCATATCCTTTATGAGTAAATATTGTTAGCTCTGTTTTCATAAAATATCCAAAACCTATTTCTCACCACCTCTGTTTTTTACCCTGATCTGAACCACTATGATCTCTTGCCAGTATTATGTTGTGAGCTTTGTAGTCAGGCTCCCTGCATTTGGCCTTGTTCTTCTTTAGGTTGTTAAACATATTCAACAGAGTAGGTGGAGGGGTCCTACTAAGCCCAAAGTCAGATAATGTCTCTTCTCTGCTCAGAGTTGTCAGTGGTTTTCCATCTTGAAATGAAATTGCATTTCTTGCATTAGCCTATAAAGGCCTGTGTAATATGTTCTGCTTCACTCCCCTCTCCTTGTCTCCATTATTTTCTAACTTTATTACTTTCTTGCTCATTCTCTCTGATACTGATTGTTACTTGATTATTTCTGGAAGCTTTCACTTCACAAGTTCTCTGTATTAGCCTAGAATCCTCTTTCCCTAGATTTACACATTTCCCTTCTTTACTCCAGATGTTTGTATCAGGGATCCCTTTTCAGTGAAGTTGTTCACCCTCAACAACTGGTTATTCTCTGCCTTTTTTTTTTTTTTTGCCCATAATATGTATTATTTAATTATTTTGTTTAGTGTCCATGCCTCATATGGTAATTTCAGAAAAGAAGAACTATTAATCCAATATGTAGTCCTTTATCTGCAGCTCTGAAAATAGTGTTTGAAACATGGTAGAATAAGCCCTTATTCTAAGGAAAAGATTTTGGGTAAAATATTTGTCATATATACTGATATCCATAGTCAGTCTTTTAAGATTGCCATGTACTCCACTGTGATCTGTGAATATTCAAGTTATTTAAGGATTATTTTTCTTATTAAAACAATGTTAATTAGCACCTAGTTTTTGTCAGTATGCTAAGATTGTTTTTTATTTAAGATTGTATTTTATTCTCTATCTATTGCTTATGATCTGACTTGGTCCAGATACATCAGAGGATCACAAACTGTTGATGAACTTGTGATTCATATGAGTGAATGTGGGTGTGTACCTTATGTATGCTAATATGTAACTGTTAGTGGTCAGATAGATAACACACACAATTAAATTCATTTGCTGAGCTGTCATCTTTTGGACTAATGGTAGGCAAATGCAGTGGCTCAAGTGTTTAAATAACTAAGGTTTCTTTAAATAAAAAAAAAAATTGAGCCTTTATTAAGTTTAAAAGCCAAAAGTTGCAACTTCTCAAGGAGTAAATAGATGATTTCATTTCAAAACAGAAGAAATTTTTTTTGTGTTAAATGGTACATTGTAGTTTCTTGTGACTTAGACTAGACTTATTTGGGTTTATTTCATCAATTGAGTGTTGTGAAGAATAAATACATCATTATTTACACATATTATTATTAGCCATTAAACATTTTAAAAATTGAGTTTGCATTCTTACATTTAAGAATTTTAACAATTTTAGGGGTAAAGGGAGAATAGTACTTGATGAAGAAGCAGTGATAGCATTATAGTAGACTCACAAATAGTTTGGTTAGTCATGTATCTCAGCCAGCATTTTTTCCAATGTATTTGCTTATACTTATAAATTGTATGTGTATTGTCAGTGGCAATAATAAGGATGATATATACCAAGGGCAAGATTTATCAAGAGCAGATATAAATCTGAATTTCATATAGCTTGTTTTGATAGTTTTGAGGGTGTTTGTCAGATCAGGTTATGTTTTTTCTAAATTATAAAGCTAACAGAAATTTAACTAGGAGGAGAAGTATCAATCTTCCCATTTTTATTTTGTGCTTTCATTACTAATATTTGTTCAATCCATTGTTTCTTTGTAGGAATCTTTTGCAGCTTACCCACTGTGTGAGTAAAACTAAATCACATCCATAATTCTACTAAATTGGGCACACAGAAACTGCCATATATGTCACAGTACACTGAAAAGGAGCCATCAGGTAAGGAGGATGTAGTTCTTCTACATTAAAGACTTCTTGTTTTTCTCTTCTGTATACTTCTCTCTGTATACCTTTTGTGTAATATGTGACATGTCATCATCTGATATATGGTTTAAAGGCTAGTTTTAACTAAACTCTAAAGGCTAGTTTTGATTCATGTATTGTATATTTGTAAAGCTTAATTTCTAACTTTTGATATAAAATAAGTGGAAATTCTGATATTCTTTTCCATACCCCTTGGCTTTTGTTGTGCCTTCCACTATAGAGACTATTCGTTTGGTTGTTAATGATACTGGTTCTTAGACTTTTGGACAAATAGCCTAAACACTTTATTTTAACTTTAGTTTTTCTATTTTCAAAATAGAATACAGAATCCACCTAAAGGTTGTTTAAGGGATTAAATAAGATGGTGAAACACTTGATATTGTGTTATATACACATGTTTTTCTTTGATGCTCAGAAGTTATTATTTTAATATAGGAAAACAAAAGTATGAAACTGTTCCATTTTTGACTATTCGGTACACATTCTGCTCCTGCCTACCATATGTATATTATATGATTGACTAAACAAACTTAGACTTTATATATATGTGTATAAATATAATATGCTATTTAGTAAAAGATGCTACTGTTTACTATTATGTATCATTCAGTCATCAAAAATTAACATACACATTTAAATGTTGGTGGCTTTTTTTTTTTTTTTTTTACCATTCACACATAGATTTGATAGATAAGGTAGCATCTGTTTAACTTGGTCCATGACTGTTTTCTTATGGAGAATTTTATTGACCCTAGGCTTTGGAACATATTTTATTGTGATCTGCATGGAACACATACCATTTTAAGAAGTTACCTATCACCTTTGATAGGAATGTATTTATTCCTGAAAGGAATTGAAACCATCATATTGTGTTCTAGAAATTCATTATATTCATATTGAGCACTTATATGGAAGATACTTTATTTAGGTTATTTGGAAGATCATTCTCCATTCCAGAGAGAGCTTTGGTGGTATAATAATTTAGTATATAAAATATTTTCTGGTAGATTTCATTATAAAAATATAAAATACCAGCCAGGCATGGTGACACATGCCTGTAATCCCAGCAACTAGAGAGGCTAAGGCAGAAGAATCACAAGTTCAAGGCCAGCTGCAGCAAATGAATGACGCCCTAAGCAACTTAGCAAGACCATGTCTCAAAGTAAAAACTAAAAAGGGCTGGGGTAGTTCAGTGTTTAAAGCGTCCCTGAATTCAATCCCCAGTACTGGGGGAAAAAAAATCCAAAATACTTTTGATACCTTAGAAGAACCAAATTTTGAAAAGAAGAGGCAACTAAGTTGTGTTATGAAGTATTCCATGTTGCCTTATTTAGTGTGTGAAAAAGAGGTTTTAAGATACTAATAAGGTGCACTTGATATTCAGTAGCATATGATTTAGTAAATGATAATATAAATGTTAGTTCCTCTCTAACTAGTTATCATTGATTTCCTTCTTTTGTTGTTGATGTTTTCTTCAGCAATGGATCAAGACTCCAACAAGGCTGGTTGGCCCAAACCAGCAGGAGGCTATCAGACAATTACAGGCAGGAGATATGGAAGAAGACATGCCTATGTCAGTTTTAAACCATGTATGACCAGACATGAAAGAAGCTTAGGTCGGGCTGGTGATGACTATGAAGTGTTGGAACTAGATGATGTTCCAAAGGAAAATTCCTCAGGTATGTAACATGTTATTATAGGGTTATTAATAGATACATAGGAATTGGTCTTATAATATTTCAGATTTTGAGTGGGTTTTATTTATGTGTATGAATGTAAATATAGTACAGTTTCCCATCAAGAAATTCTATATTGAAATTTTTAATAAATTTACTATTTGGGGTTGGGGGAGGGTACCGGGGATTGAGCTCAGGGGCACTTCAACACTGAGCCACATCCCCAGCCCTATTTTATATTTTATTTAGAGCCAGGGTCTCACTGAGGTGCTTAGCACCTCGCCATTGCTGAGGCTGCTTTAAACTTGTGATCCTCCTGTCTCAGCCTCCCTAGCTGCTGGGATTACAGGCCTGCACCACTATGCCCAGCTAAATTTAATAGTATATACATTTAAACACAGAAGGAAATAGAATATGAAGAAACATTAAAATAGAACTATATTGTTATGGAAGTGATTACATTATTAAATCCTTTTTGCCAAAAACTATTCTTTTCAGCAACAACAACAAAACTCTTTTTAATGTAAACTGAGTATATTTTTCCCTGCATACTACATTTAAATACCTCTTCTTTTAGATTTTATCCTCTAAATAATTTAGCTCAACTCGTTTATTTTTTAATCACTTTATAAAATACAAAAGTCAAGTAATGCTTAGTTATTCTAATAAAATTTCTTAATTACATAGGGATTTGAAATGTATTTTTCAGATATTGATGTATTGTACCTATACATTTTTTTCCTGTCAAGAAACTTTGTTTTTTTAGTACCAGGGATCGAACTCAGGGGCATTCAATCACTGAACCACATACTCAGCCCTTTTTTGTGTTTTATTTAGAGACAGGGTCTCACTGAGTTGCTTAGTGTCTTGCTAAGTTGCTGAGGCTGGCTTTGAACTCATGGTCTTTGTGCCTCAGCTTCCCTAGCTGCTGGGATACAGGCGTCCACCACCGCGCCCAGCTCCTGTCAAGAAACTTTTAATCAAACAAAAATCTCATAAGAAAATACATGAGCATAATGAGAAAGTGTAAATATTAAGAAAGAAACACAGCAATATATAAGAGGCATACCTAACACTGGTTTTTGAGAGGTGAAAAAAAAGATCAAGGGTAGAGAGGAGGCTAGGTAGAAATACTAACACAAACATTTTGAAGTAAATTTTGGAACCATGTACCCTGCTAATAGGAATGCAAAATGGAAAACAGTATGGAGATTTATTAAAAATAGGCTGAGTGTGGTGGTAGATGCCTATAATCCCAGTGACTTTGGAGGCTGGGCAGGATCCTAAGTTTGAGGCCAGCCTCAGCAACTTAGTAAGATTCTGTCTCAAAATGAAAAGAGAAAGGGCTGGGAATGTAGCTCAGTAGTAGAGTGCCCTGGGGTTCAATTCCTAGCATGTGCACACAGACACACAGACACCCACACCCCCCCACACACACACACACACTTTGTGTGATTTAATAAGTTCCATTTCTAAGGATATACCGAAAAGAACTGACAGTAGGGTCTCAAAGTGAAATTTTGTACGGCCGTTCTCTTAGCATTATTATTTACAACAGCCAAGTGTTCATCAACAGATAAATGGATAAATAAAATATGCCTCATACATACAATGGAACATTATTCAGCCTTAAGAAGGAAGAAAATTCTGACATATGCTACAATATGGATGAACCTTGATGACACTGTGCTAAATGAAATAAGCCAGACACAAAAAGACAAATGCTACATGATTCCACTTATGTGAGGTACCTAAAGTGGTCAGAAAGTAGAATGCTGATTGCCAGGTCGAAAGGGAAATAACTGTTTAACAGAGTATTGGTTTGGAAAGTTGAAGAAAGTTCTAGAAATGGATGATAGTGGCAGCTATACAACAACATGAATGTACTTAATATCAGTGAACTTAAAAATGGTTGAGGTGGTAAATTTTATGTTACGTATATTTATCATAATAAAACAAAACCAAAAATCATCTTGGTCCTTAAGGAGGATACAATCTAATAGGCAAAACAGACAAATAATCATTAAGCAAAAATAAAGGTAAAATACCTGACCCACTTAGTGAGGGTAATTATACATTTTTAACTAAATTCACCATCCTCATTTTATCTCAAGCAGTAATTCTAGAATATTTTTACTGTCATTTATATTTAAGAATTTGGATTAGTAGTTAAGGTCATTCTAATAAAGAAGCTTGTGATAAGATTAAACTTCATTTATTTTATAATTTATAAATTTTTGTTCCAACAAATCTCAGTGTCTTTATTATTAAATTAATGATGAAAGATAGTCATGCTTAAAGTAATTTATAGTATAGATTTTATTTGATTCATGTTTTAGACTTTTGACAATCTATGGCAAAGAGAGTCAACATACTGAATTTTTTGTTGTTTTTTTTTAGTCATAGTTATAATACATCTAAAATGAACTCATTATAAATGTCTTACAACAATTCATTTTGGAGATAGAAATCATGTGTCTAGAAACAGACGCAGTCTTTTGAATTAACATCAAAACACAATGGTGTCTCACTTCTCTTAGATTCTATTGCTTGTTGATGTCTGTCATAAGTACTTAAGAAATTTTTTCTTTTTTCTTTTTTTCCACCCTGTATGTAATAAAAGTAGGTAAATTTTGAGATTACAGCAAGGGCACATTAATTACTCCGTTACTCCACTTATACTTCCCATTGTTTATTCTCTCATAAGCTTCTCCTTTATGTGGCTTGCAGAAGGTTTTAGGTATTACTTAGGCAAAAAACCATCTGCAAAAGAAATATGAGGGAGAATACATTGAGAATCTACACAAGGGCATAAATGAACTCATAGGGTAACCATTCTGCCTTGCCAATTAAGTTAGGAAGCAATAAAATCAATTGCCACATCACTCATTTTCAAATAGGTAATAATTGGTATAATTTCCACATAAATGATAGTTATTCCATAAAATTTTATCTAAATTAATCTTTTCAAAATGTCTTCTTTTGTTCTCTATGAAGGTTCCAGTGCATTGGATCAAGCTCATTCTTTACCCAATGAACCCATATTTGAAAAAAGTGAAACAGAAATTCCCACTTGTGGTACAGCATTGGATCAAACCATTGAGAGCAGTACACCCGCTGCTGCTGTGCACCAGAGTGAGGAAGGCAGGGAGATCTTAGGAAGCAGTGAGAATGTTCCTAATCACTCTGAGGGAGAGTACACTCCAGGAGCTTGTAATGCCTCAAGTGTCCAAAATGGAATTGCGTTGGTTCATACTGACTCTTATGATCCAGAAGGCAAACACGGAGAGGATAATGACCATCTTCAACTTTCTGTACAAGTTGTGGAAGATGATAAATACCAGGATGCATTAGGCAATACAGTAATTGAGTTGGAAAATGGAGAGGCAGAGGCATACAATGGTCTTTCACCAGTTCCCTCTCTTAACTGTGAAATAAGAGATGAGTTTGAAGTGTTAGATTCAGCACCTTTAGTGAAAAATTCCACTGGTGATACTGAGTTTGTCCATCAGAACAGCCAGGAATTAAAGAGGTCCTCTTCTGAAGATGAAGTTGTTAGAAAGAAACAAGATACTGACCAGGAAAGACAAACAGAAAATTCAACTGAAGATGCCACCTGTATTCCCGAGCGTATTTGCAGTGAACAAAATGGCAGTGATAGGGACAAAAACCGTGGAAGTTCTCCTGAACAGGTAGTGAGGCCAAAAGTTAGAAAAGTGATAAGTGCAAGTCAGGTGGACCAAGAAGTGGGTTTTAATAGGCATGAGGCTAAACAAAGAAGTGTTCAGAGATGGAGGGAGGCTTTGGAAGTTGAGGAGAGTGGCTCAGATGACCCCTTAATAAAATGTGAAGAATATGATGGAGAACATGACTGTATGTTCTTGGATCCACCCTACTCAAGAGTTACACAAAGGGAAACAGAACATCACCATGTAACACCGGAAAGTGGAGCCACAGCCGGAAGGCAAGAAGTTCGGGATAACAGCTTTTGGAATGGCTGTGGAGATTATTACCAACTCTATGACAAAGATGAAGATAGGTAAGTCCTCAGGCAGTACTTGGTCAGATTATGTTGAATAAAGTGGTTTATTTCTAGTGTGAGGCGTGATGGGCTCTTGGGTATGATCAGGAACTTAGATATTTTGACTTATAAATATTCTTAGCGAGCATTAATCGTTAGAATTTTTCATAGGTACTTTGTTTTAGACATTATAACAATCTACAGAAATTAGAAATTCAGATAATGATTATTAGTTATTAAGGGTAAAGATGCTAATTATTTCAATTCATAGTATTTCAATGAATGAAATGCAAAGTTCCTGTTTGTTATATTAAAAAATTCTACATAAAGCCAGTTTGGGGTTTAAAAAGTGATTAAAATCACAGAAATTATTGACTAGTAATATTGCATTAAGCTTGCAAGTAGTTGTTAATATCATCTATTTCCCTTTTTATTGGTTCTTCCTGTTGCTCTTCCTTTCTTTAGGTTTACTTTTTATTTATTTATATTTGTTAGCATTTAAAAATTATCATCAACCACTACATTTGTAAGTACTGCTATGTCCCCCAATAGTAACTGAGGAACTGAAGCACAAAGAATTAACTAACTTCTAAGGTTACAAAGTGACTGAATGATAAAGCTGGAATTTGAGTTCCTATTCTTAACAGAGGCTGTGTTCTTCACTGTACTATGCTGTTTTCAAGACAATGTGTAACTTTTCTTATCCTCAGCATTCTGACTCCTTTTATATACACAATTCTTTTTTTTCCCCTCCTAAACAATAGGACATCAGAACAAAATGGAGAATTTGTTTGTAAAACTGGTGAATTTTCACCTCCTCAGAGTCCAAACTTTCATGCATCCTTTTAAGCTGTTACAACCCTGACAGTGCAATTGTAAGATTTTATTAACTAGTAAAATAATCGTCTTTTTTTAACTAGATGGTAGCATAAAGGAAAAAATTTATCATTTCAAATATGAATGAACTTTACTTCATGTCATAAAATAGTGAACATTTGATTGTTAAGTATGAATTAAGTATAATATAGTATGTTCAAGTTATTTTAGAAAACAACTAAAATATAATTTCTATTGCTATCATGAAGCTTGTAAGCTTTAAGGGATAGCAGAAATTTTAGTGTACTGTTTTTTAAGCTAAGAGTAAATTTAGTTAAGAAGTTTTGCTTGACTTCTGTTTTTTCAGTTTGATTCTACAGCTTTTTATTCAAAATCCACAAAATTATGAAAACAGAAATTGGCTACAAAAACTTGACCCAATGTTAACCTTCTTGATAGCTGATCTGAATCTGATCTAAAATGAGGCCCTTTTTTCAAGTATTCATGCATTTTAATACAGAAACATGTATCTGCTCAGTTATTAGTTGTTGGCCTGAATGCCCTGGGTGTTGTTAAGTAGTATTTCTAAACCTGGTGTGTATTGGGGGTGGGGGGCAAGGTATATCTAAATTCCTCAACATATTCAACCCTAAGATTTTTGGATTGGATTGTGAACCTCTCTTGTATCTCTAGGTTACTATGAAAGAAAAGGTCTTTGATAATCTATCTTTTGGAAAACATAAGGTTGTTGCATTTTTTTCTTAGTTATATTTTTGATTCTTAGAAGAAAATTGCTTAACTTGACTATGCCTTCACCATTGTGAGAACACTAGTCAAAAATGGAAGCCCCATAGTTTTGCTTGTTTTTTTATGGTCAGGTTGAATATCATATGATGAAGTTAATGAAATATCATGTTTGTCAGCTCTCAGAAAAAGGGTAGTTTCTTTAGCTTCTGGGTTTGGATTTTTTTGTTTTGGTTCAAGGGCTTGAACCTCCCCCCAGCTATGGAAATGTTACTTTGCCTAGAAGGACTCTGGACTTTAAATGGTTATATGGTATTTTCTTAGTATATTTATTTGTAATTTTTTTCCTGAAGTGATACGTTAGCATTATTAATGATGACTGGTTTTCTTTGTTTGTTTGTTTGTTTGCAGGGGAGGGCAGTTACTGGGGATTAAACTCAGGGGCACTCAACCAGTGAACCAGATACCCAGCCCTATTTTGTATTTTATTTGGAGACAGGGTCTCATTTAGTTGCTCACTTTTGCTGAGGCTAGCTTTGAATTTGCCATCCTCCTGCCTCAGCCTCCTGAGCCACTGGGATTACAGACATGTGTCACTGCATTCAGTGTGTTTTTTTTTTTTGTTGTTGTTATTTTACTAACAAATAGAATATACAGATAGGATAAACACTTATAGTTAATAGAAACATTAGTAACATTGACTTACAGAACTTGTATTAGGGTGTGCCATAACAATGGAACTGATTTTGTAGCATTATTTAAGACACATTGAAATGCTAGAAACAACTTGGGTGTTTTTTGTTTTTTAAGAATCACAGAAATAAGTTCTGAAGCATAGTGCTTCTGATTTCCATTCCACTTATAATTGCATACATAAGTTTTAATATATATTTTAGGACCTTATTTCAGTAGTCAGAATAGTGTCAAGGAGTAATCTTATTTCTATGCTTCTTCATTCTGTTTTTCTATACTAACTCCCTTCCAAATATTATAGATGCCCGAATGCCTTTTAATGTGATGCCTCTGAAGGTTAAAATTGAATAGCCATACCATTCTATTTAGTTTCATTTTGCCCCTTGTTCATCTACCTGATGTTTTACTGTTGCCCTGTGCAGCGATGATATTAGCAGATTGGAAAATAGGGAAATGGTGGCTCGACTTTTCTCAGTTTTTTGAGAAGCAAAGTATAAAGAGCTGATTCTCAATTTGCGCCTGTGAGCTTTTGTTTTGTTTTGTTTGAGTTGATTTCTCTGCTGTGTAATACTAAAGGTGATATACTTGAAACATTTTTTTTTTGGGGGGGGGGGTCATGGTTATATTATAAAAGTGATAAATCAAGCAGGGATAGTGGCAGAAGACAGTAATCCCAGTGACTCCAGAGGCTGAGGCTCAGTGGTAGAGCACTTGCCTGGCATGTGTGAGGCCTTGGGTTTGATCCTCAGGACTACATATAAATAAGTAAGTAAGTAAAAAAGACTAGGGATTAAAACTCAGTGGTGAAGAACATCTCTGGGTTCAAACCCAGTTCAAAATAAAATTTTTAAAAAAATAAAAAGGCAACAAATAAAACACCAAGAACATAACTAAAATTTATTGTGACATTTTTTAGATATCAGAACTTGGGCTACTTTTTTAAAAATTGGATTTTGTTTTATATGTGGAAAAATATTTTTAAAAATGCATGATTGCCTTCTTCCCTGAAAATTTCTAAGGGATCACTTAATCACATCTGAAATGTTACACTCTGTGGGGATAAGCATTGCAGCTGGTAGCATTGCTCTAGGCTTCTTGACAGAAATGGAGCACCACCTTATTAAATTAGAACTGCAAAGGGAATTTTAATAGACAGCATATAATTACAAGACTTGGAATTAGACCAAAGAGTTAAGGTTAGCACCTTACCCTTTTGAAATATACCCTGAGAACTTTAGTAACTGAAAATAAGATGTTGAGTTTAAAAAAACAAAACAAAACAAAACTTTCAGCAATACTAGTACCTGTTAACCTTGGGCCTGTTTTGAAGAGAGGCATGCCATCTGCTGACCATTCCTTTATAGCACTTATAGGGTTTTTTTTTTTTTTTTAGGGTTTTTCTGTTCCTAGGACTTAACTTTCCTTTGAAAATGTTAAAAAATAATAAAAATAATTAAGGGAAATGTCAGGACAACTATTTTTATTGATATTAATGGGAGAGTAAAATGAATATTTGTCATTTAGTTGATTTCAGCTTGATATATTGATTTCAATAAGGTTTATTGAAATTTTCTTAAGTACTAGGCTTTATTTCATGTGCTCTATAAATGTATAATAGTGATCCCTGTACACATGGTATTCAGCAGCCTTATGAAGAAGACAAAATTGTTGTCTTCTTGTTATGAAGAAACTCATTGTTGAGGCTATTAAGCTTTTTTGTATTCTCTATAAGTTAGTTGAGAGTCATGAAGAAAGAGGTCCCTTGACAACCACAGCAATAAATAAAACATCTATAAACAGCCTAAACAAAGATCTTTAAGCACATGCTGCAACATTTTAGCAAACTTTTTATCTTGTTTTCAAGTTCACAGAAATTTAGTAGTAAATTATAGATAAATGAATGTGTTCCTCAGGCATGCTTGGAAGTTAGTGTGTTACAACATCCTGGTATAAAGGGAAAAGAAAGTAATAAAAGATAGGCACAATTCAAAAAAGCACAGACATCTGGGTCTTGTTAACTAAGTTTAAGTAGCCTTATATATTTGAATATACTCCATTTGTATCGGCATATTGCATCACAGTTCAATGTTAGTAGTGTTGAAATGTCCCAGAATGAAAATTATGTCAGATAACAAAATTTTCAAAAATTTCACTTTCCCTAGGTTCCTCTATAGAATTTCATAAAAATGAGGTAAATGGCAGAAAAGACAAACGTATCATTTCCTTGGGGAATTAGGGAATGAAAGATTGCTTGGGTTAGTTTTACTTAGAAATCTTATTTCTGCCTGAAATTTATATCTAAAGTATTTTTGTCTGTAAATCACATATAATTTTACTTCTATATGAAAAATTTCCTTTGCTTCACAACTGAATGGATAAAGTGGTAACATTTGAGTAAGTTGTCTACTTTTGAATGTCACTTTAAATGCTTCTTGGGAACGATACCAATGAAAGACCATATGGAGATCAAAGAGGTACTTTCTTTGGTTTTTACTTTGAGAATTTTAAAATGCTTAACTTACCTGCTTTTAAAATCCTATTTATTCTGTTGCTTTCTGGCAGTGAAAATATTTTTAAATCTTTTTGTTTTTCATTCCATATACTCCTGTCAATCTTAGTGGATAACTTTGTTTCCTTGCTTTCCTAGATAGGTTGAAATAAATGTGTACTTTGTCTCCTTTGTATTAGAATGTTATTTTTAATTTCTTCTTCAATAGAGAAGTAGTTTTTCTAATTCTGTGCTGATAATTACTTTGTGCCGATAG